GTAGCAGCAGTAGTAACAGCAGTAGTGAGCGTAGTAGGAGTGGTAGTGGAAGTCGTAGGGACATCGGTAGCCATTGTGTTGTAACAAGCTGGGTAGTCACGTTCTTGCGTTGCGAGTGGCCGTGTGAATGTGCGCGTGTGACGTAGTGTGCACGTGCGTGTGGTTGTGGCATGTTGTGGCTTTAGGGTTTCCTGTTGGTTTGTAGATGTCGAACCTACCGTACTGTAGACACAAACGGGTCTATCTGTTGACGGCAATACATACCATCTTCGCAAATCCATATGCATGTCCCGCCTTCAGGAGCAGGAGCAGGCTGTAAGTTCCTGTCATCAGAGAGGTTTCAACGCAAGCCCAAAAACCTGTAAGCCGAGGATGATCTTACCGAGCGGACAACTGGTGGACAAGGACATGCTGCCCAAACGCCTAGATGAAGCCACTGGGTGCAACAGAACATGCCGTTCAGCTGAGGGTTAGAGGATGGCACCAGTACTTGCCAGATACCCGGCACAAACAAGAATCCGCCGTCCCTGGTGCGTCGAAGTGGCCGTACCCGAACCCTAAACCACTAAGCTCGGAACCTCATTGCCATGCCTGCCTTGTGCGAGTGTGTGAGTCGAAACCACTGTGCGTCTTGGCCAGGCCGGAGGCAAGCAATCATACCCTAAACGTAGATGCGTCGCCTGGAATTACTGCGTCTGATCGGCGAAAGCCCTTGGATTCTGCAGCAAGACCGTGCTCAGGTCCTCAAGGATGGAGACTGACGCCTTTCGTTTCAGGGCCCGGCCACCTCGGGCACGGCAGGTTGTTGGCTAGACCCCTTTGCACTTATTCTGCCTTTCTCCGAATCTGACATCCAAGCCTCGAGAGTACCTGGACCTAAGTATCCAGCCGAACCGGGCAGTCCTCACGCAGGAACCCGATTCAGAAACCCTCAGCGCTTGCTGGATCACGACGTTAGACCCCGAATGACCCAAGGATTTCAAGTTCCTACATTAAACTAGATGTGTCATGAGGCCCCGTAGCAATACAGAAGCCTGTGACTCCTGCTTACCTGCTGCGCTTACGGCTTTGCACTGCGCCGGGGCCGCCGGGTTCTTTGTTCAGGATTTCCCGGGTTTCAGCAGGTGCATGCTGCACGTAACACAGCTCAGACCGTTCTGCCAAGGAGGTTTGTTTTGAGACTTACACAGGGCGGCCGCTGGCTGCCTGACGATGAAACTTACTGTAACGTGTTGTTATAGATTGTTATAGCATTTCTTATCAAATCCTTTGGGGATCTGTATCGCGGTCGGTAGTGGCTGTGTCAGGTGCAGATTTGTACTGCTCTAACGTCCGAGTTTCAAGAAGCTGCTTGCTCAGCCTAATATCGCGCAGACACACAGGAGGTGTCTCACCGTTTACATTTTGACTCGTCAGTCAGTTTTGTTTGCGTTACACATGTTGGCTCGTTTCCTTTTTGAGTCTTTGAGGACGTAGTCGTCATCAACTCCGTGGTAGTAGCAATTAGGACACTAGGACATACTGGTGCGGTGGTACTTGTTGGTCACTCCCGTGCTGTTGCCTTTCAAACTTTCTTGCTCCGGCCAGGTAATGTTGATGGTGGTGATGATGATGTTGATGATGATGATGATGATGACTATCATCATGATCATGACCATCACTGGTGCTGTTGTTGGCGGTGATGCCATGAAGGCGCTCTGAACACCTTGAGGCAGCAAGCAAGCATTTGCGCGAATATGATCTCTTTTTGGGCGTGGCAGCTGGTAGGTGTTCTACTAGCCGCTGGCTTATTTGTTTCGGAATCTGTTTCTTGGTACATTAGGAACAGAACTCGCTTCCTGTGGCTCTGCCTTTTTGTAGAGAGCTTGGCAGCAGTGCAGCGGCCAGTCTGCGAAAGTTCCTCGCCCATGATTATCCGGACAATCACCTTTCGTTAGCTCTTACCACTATTGGATGGCCCTTCATCAAATATGCTTGCACGTACAGCTGCGTTTGGGGCATCCGACACCGTGTGGTAAAGCACATTGTGCATAGTGTACGGTGTATTGTGTAGAGTGTATAGTATCTAGTATGTGGTATCTGGTATCTAGCACCTAGATCTATAGCATCTAGTGTCTGGTCACTATCTACCTAGTAGTATAAGTCTTAGTAGATAGTATTTAGTTGGTAGTATATACTGTATAGTGTATGGTGTGCAGTGTGTAGTGTGTAGTGCATATGCTTTTTAGTGTACAGTATAGGACCATAATCTCCTGTACCATCCTATGCTATGCTATATTTGGCTATACGGTACCATGATAAACTATGCCACAGCATACTATACTCGTGCATCCATGCAGCGTTCAGGCTTCCAGACCGCACTACGGTATCTAGCAGTGCCAGCCGTGCTTCACTGAGAACTACTACGCAAACTATCGAATGCAGATTATCAGTGTGTCTGGTACATGCACCAGAGAAGCAAGATCCATTCCATGTGTTCCAGCTACTGGGGCACTTGCCCAGTCCAGTAAGATGTGGACTTTCATGCACTGCTTATGCATGATTCCAGGCAGCTGGCCGATTTTTTCAAGGAATTCAGTATGCAGCAGCCGCCAATACTAGAAGAGCCCACCTTTGTGGAGCATGTTTTGTCTGTGGGAATTAGAGAGCTCACAGGTAGGGGATACGAAAACTTGCTTCAATGGTCCTAGTGTTCATGCCGGCCCCCTTTAGCCGATCGATGGATCAAAGATCCTCGTTGTTGCTGAGATTCGTTGGATTCCATTTCTTCCGAAGTTGGCCCAGCAGCTTTACAAATCGATGCAGCAAGTGCTGGCGGTGCATGTCGCAAACCCTAGCAAAGCCGTCCTCAGAGAACTCGGCTCTAAGTCCTTCGAAAAAACCACGACGACCGGGCACGGAAAGCACGAAGCTTGGGTTTCAGGATCGGGCTTTCAGGCCGGGTCAATTGATACTCAGTTGAGGGATCAGTGAATGCTAGACCAATGCCCCTTCTCGCAACCCAATCTCTCATGCCATGGTCGTGTAATCAAGCTTGTCTACGAGAAGCATTGGAGTCCCAACACTTCTTTATGCGCGGCAGCATTCCGTGTATGCCTGTTGTGATAAAGCCCGAACCATATGATGTCTTGTATCCGAGTTTCTGGACCACCTTCAAACAAAAAGCACTGCGAATGCCAAAGTCATCCGTCTTTAGTTCTGGGAGCAGCAGTAGGGCAAGGGACACGGGTTCTGGAAATTGAAGAGGGTTTAAGGGTGTGTCCGGCTCGTCCCTATGCCAAAAACCGCAGCCACCATGGCCTTCTAGCTGCATAATCCATTTGCGGTTGGGAGCGAGGTGTTCAAGCATTTTTCAT